GCCGTGATATGGGCTTGAAGCATCACGGGATGGCCGTGATATGGGCTTGACGCATTACTGTGTAGCCGTGATATAGGCTTGACGCATCACGGGATGGCCGTGATATAGGCTTGACGCATCACGGGATGGCCGTGATATGGGCTTTACGCATTACTGTGTAGCCGTGATATAGGCTTGACGCATCACGGGATGGCCGTGATATGGGCTTGACGCATCACGGGATGGCCGTGATATGGGCTTGACGCATTACTGTGTAGCCGTGATATAGGCTTGACGCATCACGGGATGGCCGTGATATAGGCTTGACGCATCACGGGATGGCCGTGATATGGGCTTGACGCATTACTGTGTAGCCGTGATATAGGCTTGACGCATCACGGGATGGCCGTGATATGGGCTTGACGCATCACGGGATGGCCGTGATATGGGCTTGACGCATTACTGTGTAGCCGTGATATAGGCTGACGCATCACGGGATGGCCGTGATATAGGCTTGACGCATCACGGATGGCCGTGATATGGGCTTGACGCATTACTGTGTAGCCGTGATATAGGCTTGACGCATCACGGGATGGCCGTGATATAGGCTTGACGCATCACGGGATGGCCGTGATATAGGCTTGACGCATCACGGGATGGCCGTGATATGGGCTTGACGCATCACGGGATGGCCGTGATATGGGCTTGACGCATTACTGTGTAGCCGTGATATAGGCTTGACGCATCACGGGATGGCCGTGATATGGGCTTGACGCATCACGGATGGCCCGTGATATGGGCTTGAACGCATTACTGTGTAGCCGTGATATAGGCTTGACGCATCACGGGATGGCCGTGATATGGGCTTTACGCACCACTGTGTGGGCCAGTGATCTGGGCCTCAACGCATCAAGGGGCGGCCGTGATTTGGGCTTAACGCAATCACTGTGTGGCCGTGATATGGGCTCTCCACATCACTGTGTGGGTCCTGATCTGGGCTCGCCGCATCAAGAGATGGCCGTAATCTGGGCTTGGCGCATCACGGGGGGTGGCCGTGATTTGGGCTCTCCGCATCGCTGGCTGGTCGTGATCTGAATCGACGTAACAAGGAGTGCCGCGATCTGGGCTGGACTGCATCCCGTAGGGTGAAGCTTTTCACGACGAGCAAATTTTACTTTTTGCATGTGATACGAATGGGGAGGCCACATTTTGCTCATTCTGCATCGTTTTGAAAGCCATGCCCGATCAAACAGCTCCCATGACGACGTTTGAAAATTTCATAGTTTAATGGGGAAACAGGGCTAGCTGTTGCTCCGAATGTTTTGAGTTTGCGCGAGTGCTCGCAAAGGTAATGCCTTGTAGAAAATGCGACGATCAAAGCTGGCTGAGCAGCGCTGCTTTTTCTTAAGTTGAACATTTTTGTCACTGTTCAAGCAAGATCCGCTCTGCCTACTGTCCCGTCCGTAAACACGGAGACTGACTGAAGCTACTTAATGTAGCAAGCGTATTAGCTCATAGGCAACGGGCCGACCCATCGTCCCCCGTCTGTGCAAACCAGCCTCCATCCGAGCCAGACGCACCCGCACCGAAGCTGGACGGGCCCGGAAGAGCGTGCATCGAAAGCCAGCTGTTTCAGAAGGGACAAACACTCCGCTAACAAGCCTCCAACGGAGCCTAGCGGCATTTTACTGGCGGCGTCGAGATCAAAATAGGCTGGGAGCCAATTGTGTACCGGACAAGAGTCTTGTAAATAACACATATGTACATAAGCACTCGTTGAGGCCAAATGGCTTAGCTGGGAGGGTGCGCGATTTCCGCGAAGGAGGGTTAGGAATGCGACTACGGCCACGGCATTCGGTGACACTCAATTAGCGGTGCCTGGGCAGCGTGCACCATACAGCCTATTCAGACAAGATAAAATAGCAATATCCGCTTCTTTCTGACCACCGCGGCCCGGACTAGCAGCGCTCATTACGTGGCACTGCAGCCAAGATAGGTTTTTAACTTCACCTTTACAGCCCAAATCACCTGGAAGCCGCATTTTATGCTTGAAAGACGAGGCCATACATGTCACGTGCAGACATCTATATTCCTTTTCTTTCACCTAACGATGTTTGAGCTATCATCAGGCGATAGCAAGCGAGGCGACATTTGATGATAGCGTCAGGAGATGCATGCGAATAAGCGTCATAGTCAAACTTTCACGGAACATACTGCAATTTTACGGTAAAATAAACCTAGCTCCATCTTGTGGCGTATCGATAGGCTATCAACGTTGGCTCACCCTGACAACGGAAGCAGTTGTTTCAGTTGCACTTCGCGCATATTCACTCGGCTATCCTCTGACCTTGTCACTAAATTACTGCTGTTGGTCTCGACATGGCACTTTCGGTGGTAGTCAATGAAATGCAAAGCCGAAATTATTTTCCTGACAGATGGCGCATTGATATTCCATCGTGTCCAATCCTCCCGGCGGAGGGGGGGAGGGGGGTGGTGAGCCTAGAGCCCCATGAGCCCCTACCCCTTAGCTGCACCTCCGAAAATGCTGCACCAGATGAGCTCGATTCCCAAACGTGGCGTCATATTTCCTATGAATGGACGGGACAACCAAACAAAATTCCAGGTTGATACCAATGTGTGTGCCTAACGTTCCAAAGGTCCCATGGCAAATTACAAATGCTCTGCACCGTTTGGGCATCTGTAGTTTTGGCCAGTTCGGTTGTACCGTCCATAGCCAGTGTCATCGCAACGAACTGCTGGTTAGGGACTGAAGACACCGCTTTTGAGCGGGCGACGGAGCGCGGGCTCCAAAGGCTACAGGTCTTTGAGCGAGCTTTGTTGTGTGAAGTTTTGCGGGTCGTTAGGGGCTCTCATAACTCATGATATCGCCAAATATAAAGATGTGTATGTTTTATGTGATACATTTATGGAGATGTGAAATATTGTGAGCCAGAATTATTCAGCCGCATGTATGAGTTAGCGCAGTTGGGAATTTTACGGCATGCTATCAAAACTTTATGCTTTGAATAAGGTCCGATGTGGTGCATTGTGACATGCCCAGCAGTGGTCATACAAAGCAACGCCATATCTATCTCATAATTTATCCTCATGCATGTTTTGGTAATACCTGACCGGTCGACTGGCAGGACTTTGTTTTGCTCGCACATCAGAGCAAAGTCAAGGTGGTCTTTCTTTTTAAATTCATGCCAGCGCACTTACTTCAGCTGCAATGATGTTACTGATGCTCCGATAGGGAATACAGATATATTTTGGCACTTTCGAGTGCATGTCCACAAATTTATCACAGCCTGTCTCATTTTTCCATCACAACCAAGGTGGTGCCATTGATTTTTAAAAATTCCAAATCCATAATACAGGTACTTTGAAAAGAGTTGTAGGTAAGATTGCACGCAATCGTGATTTGCAGTTTTCAGTATTAAGGACTGGGTGCTGAATTTTAATTTCTTTCACCTTGATTATTTGTAGGTGGGTCACTTTGCATAATGAGGAGGCTCAGAATCTCATTATTCCATTTTCCACGCTGGGCCACGCCAGTGCGTGGAAAGAGAGACCTCCAATAGCTGAAAACCATTGTTGAGCCTTCCAATAAATTTGCGCAAGATTTGCTCCCGTTTGTGAATTTTATATCTAGAAACATCCAATAGCGTTTTTGCTTCCGATTTGGTGTATTCTAAGTTATTAGTGACTTCGGCTTAATTTGACATGTTGTTCATGCCCAAGACAAACAATAAGCTTTGCTGGACTAAGCGAATGCTTTTTGGAATGTTAATTCGTCTTGGTACCAACGTCTTGGCACCAACCTTCCATAGCCTACCCCATGTCAACCTTTCCGTAACATGGTGATATCTAGAGGCAAGCTGGTGAACAAGCGTTCCATCTCTACGAACAAAAGTACGCTAGTTGGTTGTCTGGTTCTTGTCATATTCGGGAGCTAATTGATTGCCATACTACGAAGATTTTAAGTCTGGACTTTCTTTTGGGCAAAAAAAAGTGCTGTGGGGCTCTCTGAACCCTCTTTTTGGGGTTGAAAAGCTTTTTTTTAAAAAAGCAACTCTAAGTCTGGGGGGCTTAATGC